ATAATAGTACATACACACATGATAAATTACCAAAATATGCATGGAAATGATTAAAAGTAATCCACATAGTGGTTGCCTTTGGAGAGGGAGAAAGAGAGAAGGATTGGGTGGGGCTTGAAGTATATCCATAACATTTTATTTCTCTTAAAAAGAGAAACAGATCTGAAGCAAATATTGCTAAATGTTAACACCTGTTTAATCTTCTGATCATGTACATGGCTGTCTGTAATTTTCTGTGGGTTGTGAATATTCCATAATTTGAATAAAATCATGCCAAAATAGGTATTTATAAAACAAAAACCCTAATATTTTCACTAGTACATTTTTGATGACAGTAATTCAAATGTAGGACTTGCTTCCTGCCTTCTTTTTCTTCTTTCTTTCCTTGCTCCTTCCTTGAGCATTCATTGTTTGTCTCCTGTTCCCAAGGAATAGGGCTGGTGTTGGGGATACAGAAATCATCAGGCCCAGCTGTGATCCTCAGGGGCTTCACAGTCTTTGAGAGGGATAGTGAGGAATGAACAAATCCCAGCTGTTCCAGTGTACAAGGTGCCCAGCCAGCCACAGGCTCAATCGGCCCCAGCTTTCTCAGAGACTCAGAGCCCAGAGATCTTTGATGTTTCTTATGAATGTTTAGGTGGGTATTGCAGATACTGTGAGCACCCACCCGTGTTCCTTGGCCCCTATCTTCCAGTGTGCTGCCTTGAAAGACTTGCAACTGCCAGTACCTTCACCTCTGTGCCTGAAGCTTTCCCTGCAGCCCCCTCCACAGAAAACGTTCTACCCAGAAACTCAGCCGGCCCAAATTGCTGGGCAATGAATGGACGCCCCTCCCCTCTGGCATCTACCAGCAACACTCAACCAGTGACTGATGGGAGCTGGTGTACAAATGCCTAGGATCTCTCACCTTGTGTGGGGTGACTCTGAGACACACTGTTTTCTGGAGCTCTTCAGCAGGACTAAAGTCACCCCCGTGGTAATAAATCACCTTCCTGTCCCTTCTGTCTTCCATACCTCCCTCCCTAACAAACTACTTGCATTTGAAACTTGGTCTCAGGATCTGCTTCTGGGAAATCCAGACTAAGAGGGTAAGAAGGAAGTCAAACAGGGAAAGGGCATGAGGACTATTTTTTTTTTTAAGATTTTATTGAGGAATTGGGGGGAGGGAACAGCATTGGGGAATTGGGGAAGGGGAACAGACAACTTGCTGTTCTTTTTTGTTCTTCAGTCTAGTTGTGGAGGACGTTGCTTCACTGGCCCATGTTGGATGAGGACTATTTTTACAAAAGGAGGTTGGCTTACAAGCCTGCTGCCTGCATGCTGCCAGACACAGAACTCAGGCAGGTGTTAATCCGTCACACAGAAGAAACCATCCAAAGGCTATTAAGCAAAGAGATTCCATTATGGCTATTCCTGTAGTTAAGCATACTACAAAACAAGACAGGTTGTGCCTTACAAAAGTTAAAGATAAACTTGCCCCTATTCTTGCACCTTACAGAAGACAAAGATAAACTTACCATGGTTCTTCTTTTGTCCTTTTCCACTATCCTAAAAAATTTTCCATGTAAACAGAAAACACATATAAACCCAAACCGGGTGGATGGAGGAGATCTCTCTTCTACTAGCAATTAGAGACCACCACTCTGTCTGTGGGAGGCCTTTCTTTTCTTATTTACTCTCTGCTAAATAGACTTACTTTCACTTTAAACTCTGTGTCAACTCACGTTTGGATTCTTTCCTATGAAAGGCCAAGAACCTTCTTAGCCCAGGGCTTGGGTCTCCACTTGGGGGGCTTTGCCCCACCAGCATCAGAAAGACCTGCTAAGGAAGCCTCAATTGCAAGGGGGAGGTTTCCATGAGGCAGAGCCATGGGCCCTGGCCAACTTACAACATCAGCAGGATGGCTGGAATGATCAGGCCTGGGTTGGCGAGGAAAGCAAAGATCTTGCCCAGGAAGGTTGGGAAATCATTTTCAACTGTCTCTTGGATGACATCATACATTCTGTTTTTCCCACTGGAAAGAGAAGAGGACATGTTACAGCATGCTGCAAAGTTCAGATAGCACACGCAACTTTGTGCATGCCTTCCCCCAGGTCCAAAGCTGCCACTCACCACTGCTTTCCTGGAAGAATCCAAGCTCTGCTCCCAATGTACTGTAAGTAAAAAATGCCTCAAGAGGGGCTGCCATTTTGGCTAGGGATTATAGCTGGGACAGCACCCTGGCTCACCAACATCATATTCTTGGTACCTCACAACTTTTCAAACTGTATTGGTCTCCTGTATCTGACATCTTCCTCAGCAAGATGAAAATGAGTTTTCACCTATATCCTCATGGGAGAAAATTGCCTGTGATGTAGTTATATGACTGATACAGAGTTTCCTCTGGGACCCTGCATGGAAATAGTTCTCCAGAGGCTGATGTGATAAGACAACTTCATGGTGCCTCTCAAAATACCTACAATTA